AACAAAGAGGACATCCAAATTTTTATCTTATATTACCTTCAATTTCATTGTAGGGGCCCAACCAAGTTTCTCTTTGATTAAAGTGTTATCAGAGTTTCGACCACGAACTCCCTCTGGACCAGGAATGTGATGAATGGCAAGTTTCTTGTTTTCAAAGCTCAGAACAATCTCAGCCATCTCGTTCATGCTCACCATCTCATCACTCCCAATATTCACTGGTTCACGGAAGTCTGACTTTGTCAACCTGGAAGGTAGAGGTGTTAAATTAAGTCAGGGCATTGGAATTTAGTAATGCCTTCAGATGCTCAAGTCTAATTTTGGGCACCTTATTACGCCACACCATACATTGTACATCTAATGTTGATGAAAGAAGAAAGATAACAGAAAAATCTTATTCAGCAGATCCCATGCCGAAAAAGAATGAAGCTCCAACATAGTACAACTTCGAGCTGCCAGGGTTTAGGCATGGTAAATTTGGTTCAAGACCACAGGGGGGAAGCTCAAGAGATTACAAAGACCATGTACGCATATAAGACAAACAGTGGAAAAAGCTGAGGAAAAATGTCAGTTTGAGATGTATGTACCTCAGGACGCCCTCAACACATTCATCAATGAAAGTGAAAGACCGGGTTTGCAACCCATCTCCCCACATCTCAAATTTGTCAATAGATGTAATAGCCTTCCTACAGAAGGCAGCAGGGGCTTTCTCTCTACCACCTTGAGGGAACATAAATATCAATATGAATATATAAGCAAAGAAGTACACACTCACACAAACAAACACAAGGGTAATAAACATTACATCTCTAATTATGCACAACTAATAGTACTGACCTTTCCAAGTGCCAAATGGTCCATATATGTTATGGAAGCGCCCAATACGACATTCAATTCCAAAGTCCGTGGTATAGTGCTTGCATAACTCTTCAGTTGCAAGCTTCTCCAAGCCATAAGCATCTTGAGGCTAAAAGACATGCATGTGTAAGAAAATAAATTAGGAAGAAAAGATGGGTTTCTTTTTTGAGGTTGGGAAGGACTTTGCTAAATTCATTATACATTAAACTAAATGATTCTCACTAGGTAGGAGAAACAAACCTCAGCAGGCCAGGCATCTGACTCTTTCAAGCTGACATTAGTGTCTAACTGTTTAAATTCAGGGTAGATACAAGCACTTGACGCATAAAAAAACCTGAAATTTTACAAAGAAAGACCATATAAGAATACTTATAGATTAGAATAGTAACGGGAGGAAAATTAACAAGAGCTGGGAGAAAAAGAATGCATCGGTGAGGATTGTTTAGATTGGTTGAAAAATCTTATAAAAGTAGTCTGCTTTTGAAGTCTCAAGCAACCAAGACTGATATCTGACTAGGAATTAGTATTTTGAAGCAATATGAAAATTCTTTTAGTATATTGGATTGAAATGATAACAAGAACTGTAACAGGTTAACTTTCCAAAGTAGTGGTGTAAGATCACTGCATTTAAGGCATAAAAGCAACACATTATATCATCGTGTCTAAAAAGACCAGTAAGTTGATCCATCCATAACCGACTTTAAAAGAGTTGATTAAGCAATTATTGGACAAGTATTTATACAAAACAAATGTTACTAACCTTTTAACTCCGTTCATTCTTGCAGCCTCAAGCATGTTGAAACTGATCATTGTGTTGTTATACATGATGACCGAATGGTTGGACTGAATAAAGCCCATTCCTCCCATATCTGCTGCAAGGTTGAACACATGGTCAACACCACTTGTCACCTTCAAACAGTTATCCATCACTCTGAGATCTACAAGGTGAAACTCATGACAGAACATGTCTTCTGTCATGTGCTCATTTTTTTTCCAGTCAGAAGCAATAATGTAATGCCCTTCACTCTTCAGCCGTCTAGCAATGTGTGAGGCAATGAATCCACCAGCCCCAGTAATAGAAATCCGGAGCTTCTCTGAAGGCCAATAGGGCTCCCTCTCAAGTTCCTTATAAGTGTATTCCCCATAATCACTTTCACCAGTACTTCCCATCCTGCATCAACGAAATCCCTTAGGCAAATTATGGAGATATACAATTAACCCCAACGAGATGTTTTCTTCATAATACCATTTTACTATTAGGATCTGGGATTTCAATGAGTTTGTGGAAACACCCAATACAAGAAGATCATAATGTTTACTTCAGTCAATAACTTGAATTGAACTCCAACTAACAAAGTTTTAAACTTTTAATTCAAAACTTATATCCCCAGCTGAATTTCTTGGTTAGCAACTCTAAAAGAAAAAAAAGCACTGGCATTTGTATTCACATACAGACACAGAGATAAACAAAAACAAGGAAAACCCAACAACAGCCAAGTAACATATATGTATATACAACTGAAATCATGCATCCAAACAAAATATACCATCTTATACTCGAAATTGATTCAAAACGAGGTAAATGGGAACGCAAGAAACAGAGCATAATTGAATTAAAATAAGCAAGAAAGAACATGAAAAAAGACAAAAACTTTGAGAGTACAAGACTATAGGGAGCCTCTGAAGGTTGTACAATGGCCAATAAGCGAATTTCCTTATCGCAATATTGGAGCAGATATGAGGCCGCCCTGCGCGCAGCTGGCTATAAGTAGAGCACCGGCAACTCGACGAGGGACTAAAAATGGAACATCAGTCATTTTTTTTTTTAATGATTTTTTTATCTTCTTTCTTAAGGAAAAAATTAAGTTTTTTATGCACGTATATAATTTTTTTAGATAGGATTCTATCCAAAGAGTTGTATACAACTCAATTTTTTAAGGGTAACCACTAAATTTTTTTTATTATAAATAGTTAAAATTTATTTTAAAATATATAAAATTTATTTATTTATTTATTTTTAATAAATTTAATTTGATATTTTAACTTTTTATATATAAATCTATCCAAAGAGTTGTATACAACTCAATTTTTTAAGGGTAACCACTAAATTTTTTTTATTATAAATAGTTAAAATTTATTTTAAAATATATAAA